AAGGAAAGATCATGTGAAGATCATGTGAAGACATAGAGAGAAGATGGCCATCTACAAGCCAAGGAGAGAGGTCTCAGAAGAAACCCGCCATGCCAACATCTTGTTCTCTGATTTTTAGTCTCCACCACTGGGGGAAAAATTTTTTTGTTGTTTAAACCACCCAGTCTAAGATACTTGGTTATAACAGCCCTAGCAAACTTATACAATAGCGTTGAAATCTGGAGAAAGATTAAAAAGAAAAAAAAGAAGAAATCCCAGGGGAAAAAAGAATACAATAGAGAGGTCAAAATGAGGATAGATGAAGATGAAGAATTAAGTTTTGAAACAATGGTTTACATTAGTGAAAGTCACCTATAACTGCCATTTTGATAAATAGGACTTTCTGGGGGTTTTTAGTATTGTGTCTTGAAAGACAAATAAGCCTCCCAACTTTCACATCTCTAACCAAAATTTGCTTTCTCAGAGATGTCTTCCACTACCCTTTCCAAAATAGCGTCTTCTACCTCGAGTCATTTTTGAACACTTCCCCCTGCTTTGTCTTCTTCACAGCACTCAAATCTAAAATTGAAAAATTTAAGTTGTTTATTATTGCCTGTCTCCCCACACTGGAATGTGAGTTCAATCAGATCAAGGACCTCACCTAATTCACTCCTTTCTCTAGTACCCCTCACAGTAATAATTAATAGGCACTCCTTACATACCTACGCCTAATGAATGAATTGCTCTGAAAAATGCAAACAGGACAAAACTTTCTTTAAGAGGCATGGGAAAGCCAAGAAGACAATTCTGGTGAATATTGCAGGGGTAGTATTCTGTCTGACTGCCCCTTGCTTCCGGAGTGATAAATCTGAGGACGTGAGAAACGATAAATCCTGCATGAAGGGCTGCCCAGCAACAGATGAGAGAAGCTTGTTCACAACACACACACACATGCACACACGCACACACGCACATGTGTGGATATGCACACAATGTTAGCACCATGTGAAAGGGAAAGTTGGACTTAGGGCAAGAACTGAAGGTTTAAATACTTAAACATTCTTTTGCACAGCAAGCCAAAATCTCACGGGGATAAATGTACAAATAAAACGCTGAGGAGCGTCTAAAATAATATATATCACATTATTCTGTTATATATATTACAGGTCACATGAGGAAACTGAAACTCTCTGCAGCCCTTCCCAAATATAGGGAACCATTTAGGGCTGTTCAAAATGATTAGGATTGGCGACTCTGACACCAGAAAGAATAACTGCCTTGGTTCAGCTGTTCTTTTTTGCCATTTTTAACAAGTACATTTTAATGGCCATTATTGTTTTATTCATGTTAGGTTTATCATTACTGCAGTTAACCTCACATTTATTTTGGCTAGTACCCTTCTTTGAAAATCTTTGACATTTCATTTGGTTTTGATTTGTCTTTTTGGTCACAATCCATTAATAATAACTTAAATTTGAATGGTGCTTTTCAGCTTACAAAAAAATTCATATTATCATTCGTGTCCTTGAACAGCTCTGTGGGAGAGGCTGAGATGATCATTTCTTTTTTTATAGTTGCTCTTTTATAGGGAAGGAAACTGAGTCTTAGTAAACATAAGGGACTTGCCCCAAGTCGTAGACACAGTGAATGGCAGCACTACAACTCAGCTCCAGGTCTTTGGTTTCTTCTACATAATGACATGAAACCCATCACTGGTTGGGCTGACTGGCAAAGATCCACCGTCCACACACATTATGTATGTTTATGTTCATGCGTAGCCAAGTGCGTGCGCGCGCGCGCACACACACACACACACACACACACCCATGTTATCTAATAGAAATCTAAGAAAACAGTGACTGGAACAGCAACTAGAACACAAACCTAAGAAAACAGCATTATTGTGTCATGCATCCCCAGAAAAAGGAAAAAGAGGCAAGAAAACCCATTACCACCATTTCTCCCAGCAGAAATTCCAAGGCTCCTTCCCCCGACCAGGTGTTTGTATAGCATTAAACAAATCTGATGTTCTTTTGAGTGATTTGGGGAGAACCACCACACCACTTTGACCACCAAAAATATCCTCAGGGACAAGAGGGAAATTAGTAAGGATAAGTCAAGCGGTAAATTCTAACCAGGGCCCCTATATAAATACTCAAGTTAAAACTGAACAAAGTTTATTTAAATAAAGAGCCAGAGAAATGGCAGATGGCAGACCAAAGGAGGTGGTTTTCAGGAGAGAAAAGCCAAACCTGCAAGAGGAAATAATTGTAGTAAAGTAGGATCCCACTGGGCCATTGGTATTCAACTGGTCTTCTTCCCAGGCATTTCACTTCCTTCCAGTTTTCCAATGTTTCATTAGATTGTCCTGGTTTAAAGATTATTAAGTATAATCCAACACATTCATGGAACTGATGGAAAGGTGAAGAGCCAAACATGCTAGTTTATTCTTAAAGACATCTCCCCAAGTTCAGGATTTAGTAATTAAATTCTGTCATCCCCAAAGATAGAATTAAGTTCCAGCTTATACATCACCAGGTATTACCATACATTTCTGGTAATGGATTAGCATGTTCAGCTCTCTAGTGACTGCTGTAGACACTGAATGTTAAGGACGTTAGAGAACAACTGAGTCTTATTTTTAACAAATAAGAAAGTTGAAGGGATCTGTTCAGATACATAAAACTGAGAAATAAGGCCTGAAGTTCTAGTCTTCTGAGTGGACAAAGAATAGTGGTATGTGTAGTATACTGTAATTTGTGTCCTAAAGGTGTGTGTAGTATATATGCATATTCTTAGAACATCTCCAGAAACATATGAGGAAAATGGGAAAAGCTGTTGCTTCCAAGGGAAGGGATTTAAGCCACTAGGTGAAGTGGGTGGGAAATTTACTTTTGTTGTGGATATCCCTTGCTACTCATTAATAGTTTATACATCTGTCATGCCTACTAAAAAAGTATAACCTCTGTTGGGGCAGGGCCCATTGACCATTTTATATTTATCTTTGTAATCCCTGGATGGGTCTAGCATTGTGTTTGGTAAGTAGTTAATAAGTTTATCATTAAGTACTTACAGATGTTCTTCTTTTCCCATCTAAAGTAAAACTATTACCAACTATAAATCAATATTAATTTTGTAGCTCTTTCCAAATGGTTTATAATAATTATTCTTAGACAGAAAATAACTGCTTTCTATCTCCTCCCATTTACCAACACATGTATTATTTCGAGCATATTTGAATCAAACAGTTCTTGAGACTATTCTGATTTACGAAATGGAGAACATTTTATAAATCATTTTGCTGACAGATGTTTTGGGGGAAAATGACTAGTTAGTATACTGAGAAAAATTGTAAAGCAGTGACTTTTGTGGTAGAAATTCCATTAAATATTTTCTCAGGTGCTTTTTATTAACCAATTCTTCTGTAGCCTGTTCACACTCTTGGCATTACTCTTGAATAGGATGTTGCAAAGTCAACACATATTTTCTAAGAAGTTAAAACTATGATCCAGAATTAGTAAGACAGAAGCAAAGAAAACAAACTCGCAGAATGGAAATTAAAGTTATTTAGAGATAGGAGTTTATTCAAAGTTCTTACATTAAAAATTGTGAAAACCTTGCCATTTCTTTCTCCAGCATAATAATGACACTCCACTGAGGATTCAGATTTTCATCAAGACCTTTCAAAAGGTGTGGGAAGCACCTTACAATGCCCAGTACCCAGGAGAACAGACTTCAATATGTACCACACTTGCCCTCTAGTGGGCCTTTGTGGGCATTGCAGTTCCCTGGGCTTCTGGGTTTTCAGCCAGAGGTCTTTTTGAGGGGTTTTTTAATAATCATAAGCCCCAGTAATATTTATTCCATTAACTGTTAAATTGCAAAGGATGCTGTTAAAGGGATTTTCCAGTTTATTCTCATGAGTGGCTAAACATCGTTGTTGTTTTATTTACACAACTAGTTTGCCTTGTAAACTCCTTTCTTTTGTAAAAGTTTCTTTCGTAAAAGAAAAACTTCAGTGCGCTCCAGGTCCAATTAGGCAAATTCCAAATTAACGACTTTATAGTATTTAAGTAGAACAAAATGGCATTCCATTATGTGCGTAATTATGATAGTGATTTTTTAAATATTTTGGGACTGTGCAGTTTTCATTATTGTTGTTTGTTCGCTGTTTAACACTTATATTAATTTGTGACCACACCAAAGCAAAGGACAGATGAAAAATCTCAGCCTATCAATTACTGTTTCCACTTAGAATAGAATTTCGGCACGTACTAACAAATTCCAACTTACCACCAAGTTTGCCTCCTTTTGGCCAACATAACCTAACCATTAGGAATAAGTTTAGTGTAAATGTGTGACACTCAAAATAACAGTGATTTAAAGAAGATGATAAACCTTTAGCTCTTTATTGTGTAAACAAATTTCAAACATAAGAATTAATAGGGGCCTTCATGTTCAGTAAAGGCTGAGGTTTATTCTAGCTTGTTACTAAACGATGCGCAGTACATGAATTTCACTTCCTGGTCCATGGTTTCTGATCTGTTTCCAGGTAACATATCCACATATCAGCCAGCTGCAAGGAAGAGGAAAAACAGGGCCACTCTTCTTTAGGATCCTTCTTGGAAGTTGTACCCATTACAACTACATCCAATTGGACAGAACTTTTTCACATCACCACATCCGGCTAAAATGTCTTTTATTTTGGGCTGCTCTGTTCCAGCTAAAAATCAAGAGTTCCAATACTATGGAAGAAAGCAGAATTGATATCTGGGGACACACAGCAGTATTTCCCACAGTTTATAATCCCACTGATTGCCTTCATTTGACAGTTCCTACTCTTTTCTGTTTTTTGCATGTTTTCTACTGAGAGGTAACACCGTCCTCCTTTTTGTTTGCCTTCCACAGGGGACGTTCTGATGATAAAAATTGTTTCCTTTTTCTCCCTCTTCTTTCTCTAAGTAAACTTGTCACTTGGCCTGCCAGTTTTCACCATGTTGGTGCGTTCATTCCTTCCACAGGTGATGGCTGTACCACCTGGCCCTCTGCAGCTGCTGGGAGTGCTGCTTACCATTTCCCTGGGCTCCATCAGGCTCATTCAGGCTGGCGCTTACTATGGGATCAAGCCGCTGCCACCACAAATTCCTCCTCAGATCCCACCACAAATTCCACAATACCAGCCTCTGGGCCAGCAAGTACCTCACATGCCTTTGGGCAAAGATGGCCTTAACATGGGCAAGGAGCTGCCCCACATGCAGTATGGCAAAGAGTATCCACATCTACCCCAATATATGAAGGAAATTCAACCAGTGCCAAGAATGGGCAAGGAAGCAGCACCTAAGAAAGGCAAAGGTAACATCATATTCCTGTCCTGTTAGGAAACACCAGTTTTCCAAAATCTGAAACTATAAGATCAGGGGGAGAAGCTAAATTTTAGAAATTTTTATTTTGGAACGTGTTACTGACATTCATTGTTTATGGTGCCCTAAACTCTTATCCTTGAGAAGTTCAAGACTCAAAAATACAAACAAAATTACTGTTTTATGTTGTGCTTTATTATTTTAACAGCATTAAATGGCACAAAACACGTTTTTACTCCCTTATTCATTATCTCTCCCAACATTTGGCAACTGTTTAATGAGCATCTATTTTTGTGTTAGAAGCTGGGCCAGATGCTGGGGAATTAAAGCAGGCAGGGGTGGGGGCAGTGACAAGCCTACAGGAAGCTGCTGGAAGGTGCAGAGAGCAGGAGTGCTCGGGCCTCTTCCAAACTTGTCTTCCCTGACCCTGAGGGAAACCAATCCAGATTCACTCCCTCTCACTGACACTCACGCAAAGAGGACACTTCTGCTTAAGATGGTTGAAACTAGAGATGGACAGGTTATCGATGAAATTTTCTCAACATCACGCACGATGTCCTCGAGTGAAAATCGCACATGACTCAGTGCAGCAATATATTATCACCAAGAATTAAAAAAAAAAAAAAAAAGATGGACATTGGGGAGGGTATGTGCTATGGTGAGTGCTGTGAAGTATGTAAACCTGGCGATTCACAGACCTGTACCCCTGGGGCTAATAATACATTATATGTTTATAAATAAATTTAAAAAATTATAAAAAAGAAAAAAGAAATCCATTATCTTAAAGATACAGCTTTCAAATGCTTTTCTGCGGTTTTTCAAGAGCACAAGATTTGAAATAGGAATAACTTCTAGTTCTTGAGAACCAACAGCCTTAAAGGATTTCGAGGAGAGTTTACAGCATCATCTAGTATACAAAGAAAAACTTGTGCTAGAATACCTTTTAAAAAGTATCTTTGAATACCATTAAAACTGCTTTTTCCCCAACAAGTACCTGCCTGACTTGTTTCTGCTTCAATAAATAACTTTGGAAAACTCAAAATTAAAAAAAGTGACTAGTCAGTCTTCTTTAATGGGAGGGCAATGTTGTTAAAGACCTACTGTGTTAGGAATATATAAATATAAATGTAAATATATATATATATATATATATGTATATATGAATGAAAGCACTTTGTGAACCAGGTGCTGGATAAATGCCAGTGTTTTTAAGAGTGCTTTCATTAAGCTACTACACCTATTAATCAATAAACTGAGAGGAGACTATGAAGGGTAAGGATTGAATATAGAGATGACAATTTTTCCCACTGTCTTCTAGCCATATTCACTAGTTATTCAACACCTACAAAATGCTTATTACTGTGAGAGACACTTTCTTAAAACTTCATGAGGTTCATCTGGATTCCTAAGAAACTTAGCATTTGTACAAAAGGAATTGCATCAACATAGCAATTCCCTTTGAGGAGGTAGAGGCCATTCCTACTGGTCCCTAAAAAGGCAGGAACTCTAGGTCTGGGGTACTATTGGATTTGGTGTTAAGAGGCTTAGAGGCCAGAAATCAAAGACCTGGAAATAACATAATATTGTATTTAAACCATATTTCAATTAAAAAAAAAAAGAACACCTCTCTGAAACTAGTTGTCTTTGTTAGTAAAGTAAGATTTGTTGAGAAAATCAATGGCATGGGTAAGTAAAAATGCTAAGTAAATATTAAAGCATCATAAAAACTTTTGAGTTGCTAGAGCTGGTCATTCAGGAAACCCTAGCTAAGAACAGAGTACATGCCAGGCACTGTGCTGGACACCCAGGATTCCTGATGAGGAAGACATGACCCTGCTCTAGACGCTCTTGATATCGTAGTATGTCCTACACACTGCCTAGAAATAACATGCCATTATTGTATTAGACTGTCTACTTAGCATAAATGAAGTATTCCCAATTTGCTTCTCTTCGGGAGCTGATATTCCACTTAGGGGATTATCTCAGCCATTTGTTTCCCTTCCTTTCTTGGGGGGCCTGCCTGACTTTGGCACTTCCTGTACTTATTCTGATGGGTACCAGACTGCATCCGGAGAATTTGCTAAGAATATGAGTTCTACAGTCTATTTTGTTCCCTGACAGTAGCTCAGTGAGAAATGGAATGGTCAGGATTAAGAAGTGACCACAGGTTAACATAAAACTTTGAGACTGTAAATTTCATTTATGTTTCATTTCAGTAGCGTAGAATATCCGGAGTTGTGTTGCTCTGAAAGGCACAGTATAATCATCGTAACAGATACTGAAAACAATTTGTGAAAGCATAACATCTTTCACATCTATTATCTAATCTTGTAGTGGCACTGTATTGCATGTGGGGAGGGGGAGGGGGAGGGAGAATCTCAAGCAGACTCCCTGCCACGTGTGGAGCCCTACATGGGGCTCGATCCCTCGACCCTGAGATTATGACCTGAGCTGAAATCAAGAACCAGCCACTCGACCTACTGAACCACCCAGGCACCTCATGTGGAAGATGTTATTAAATCACACACAAGATAAAATACTTCTATTCTTTCCTGAATCCACATGACAATTACTTTCCCTAAAGCATCATACTGTATTTCAACACAAAAGGAAATATTATTTAGCCACAAACTATTATATAAAAAAACAAGGACATGAAAAAGTACAGCATTATGTAGATAAACTAATAAAAAAATAAAAATGAAGAATGACTCCATTGTTTAAAATACACACACACAGACACACATGCACATACACACCCACACCTAGAACACAAGAGATGGAAATACATATAAATATCAAGTGCTTATAGGCAAATTTGATTTTTCTTTATCCCTTTTTCAATTTTCCAAAATCCCCATACAGAACACACCATAACAAAACTTGGAGTTTTGTACTTAGAAAAATGTTTCTTCATTATTCTTTAGCTTTTCTCCTTAACCAATGTTGATAAAAGCAGGTACAGATATCAGTTCTCAAACACTATTTCAAACATAACAAAGCAATTATTAGCTTGATTGTTCTTTAAGTACTGATAGTCCTGGAAGACGAACACATTATTCCTAGTGTTTCCTCTCGATGAGTAATAGACTAAGGTGTCAGAACTAAATAATGATCATCATGACTTCCTTGAAGAATAATAACTATTAATTTTTCTCTCTTTTTCCCCCTTCTCCCTCCTCCCTCTCCCACTCTCTCTCCCAGTAGAAATACCATTAGCCAGCTTACGAGGGGAGCAAGGTCCCCGTGGAGAGCCTGGCCCAAGAGGACCACCTGGGCCCCCCGGCTTACCAGGTCATGGGATACCTGGAACCAAAGGAAAACCAGGGCCACAGGGATATCCTGGAATTGGAAAACCAGGTATGCCTGGAATGCCAGGAAAGCCAGGAGCCATGGGAATGCCTGGAGCAAAAGGTGAAATTGGACCCAAAGGGGAGATCGGGCCTATGGGGATCCCAGGGCCGCAAGGACCTCCAGGGCCTCATGGACTCCCTGGCATTGGAAAACCAGGTGGTCCAGGGTTACCAGGGCAACCAGGTGCAAAGGGAGAGCGAGGACCAAAAGGACCACCAGGACCTCCAGGCCTTCAGGGTCCTAAAGGGGAGAAGGGCTTTGGGATGCCAGGTTTGCCAGGCCTAAAGGGTCCTCCAGGGATGCATGGCCCTCCTGGCCCTGTTGGACTTCCAGGAGTGGGCAAACCCGGAGTGACAGGCTTCCCTGGGCCCCAAGGCCCCCTGGGAAAGCCAGGTCCTCCAGGGGAGCCTGGGCCCCAGGGCCCTGTTGGGGTCCCAGGAGTTCAAGGACCTCCTGGGATACCTGGAGTTGGGAAACCAGGCCAGGACGGGATTCCTGGCCAGCCAGGATTTCCAGGTGGCAAAGGGGAGCAAGGACTGCCAGGGCTGCCAGGACCCCCAGGCCTTCCAGGAATTGGGAAACCAGGCTTCCCAGGACCCAAAGGTGACAAGGGCATAGGGGGTCTTCCTGGCGCTCTAGGACCAAGAGGGGAGAAAGGACCAGTAGGTGCCCCTGGAATAGGGGGTCCCCCAGGAGAGCCAGGCCTGCCTGGAATCCCAGGTCCTATGGGTCCTCCAGGTGCTATTGGTTTTCCCGGACCCAAAGGAGAAGGTGGGGTTGTAGGGCCACAGGGGCCACCAGGTCCCAAGGGTGAGCCAGGGCTTCAGGGCTTCCCAGGAAAGCCAGGTTTCCTTGGTGAAGTAGGGCCCCCTGGCATGAGGGGTTTGCCAGGTCCCATAGGGCCCAAGGGGGAAGCTGGTCATAAAGGTTTACCAGGGCTCCCTGGTGCTCCAGGGCTTCTGGGACCAAAGGGAGAACCAGGAATCCCAGGGGACCAGGGTTTACAGGGCCCTCCAGGCATCCCAGGGATCGCAGGCCCAAGTGGGCCCATTGGACCACCTGGAATGCCAGGCCCCAAAGGAGAACCCGGCATCCCAGGGCCCCCTGGGTTCCCTGGAGTAGGGAAGCCTGGAGTAGCAGGACTTCATGGGCCCCCGGGGAAGCCTGGTGCCCTTGGTCCTCAAGGCCAGCCGGGACTTCCAGGGCCCCCAGGCCCTCCAGGGCCCCCAGGGCCGCCAGCTGTGATGCCCCCTACACCACCACCACATGGAGAGTATCTGCCCGATATGGGGCTGGGAATTGATGGAGTGAAACCCCCCCATGCCTATGGGGCTAAGAAAGGCAAGAATGGAGGGCCTGCCTACGAGATGCCTGCCTTTACAGCTGAGCTGACTGTGCCTTTCCCACCTGTGGGGGCCCCAGTGAAGTTTGACAAACTGCTCTATAATGGCAGACAGAACTACAACCCCCAGACGGGCATCTTCACCTGCGAGGTTCCCGGGGTCTACTACTTCGCCTACCACATTCACTGCAAGGGGGGCAACGTGTGGGTTGCTCTGTTCAAGAACAACGAGCCCATGATGTACACATATGATGAGTACAAAAAGGGCTTTCTGGACCAGGCGTCTGGGAGTGCGGTGCTACTGCTCAGGCCGGGAGACCGAGTGTTCCTCCAAATGCCCTCAGAACAGGCTGCAGGACTGTATGCTGGGCAGTATGTCCATTCCTCCTTTTCAGGATATTTATTGTATCCCATGTAAAAGAAAGAAAAAGAAAGAAAGAAAGAAAGAAAGAAAGAAAGAAAGAAAGAAAGAAAGAAAGAAGAAAAGAAAGAGATTTAAAGAAGAAAATGGCACACCGAAAAAATCCAAATGAAAAACATAATTGCTTCAAAACATTTATATAGTTGGAAAGTTATATTTAAGTGAAAATCTAAACCATCATGTACAAATAAAAACTAAGATGCATGTTGAATGCTCTGCATAGCAGCCTGTAATTAAAAATGATGGGATAGATTTATGTATCAAGTACTGACACTTGTGTTGTACCCACTGGAATCATATTAGCTGTTGTATTGTTATATGCTTCCATGATAACCTGCTTATTCAGATCAGTCAATATATTTCAGTATGGAAGATTATAGCTAATGAAAGTCACTTGCTCATATTGTTTAAAGATTTCTAATATGGCTTAAGGAAATGTCCATGATAACAATTACCGTATTTATTTGCATAATTTCCTCTGTCTTTGGGCAGATGTTTTGCCAGGAAGGTGGGGAAGGAGTCCTGTTGTGTGATAGCCCCAGTGGGAGGGAGTCAGGGGAGCAGAAGATTTTTAGCCCAAGGGCTATTTCCCTCCTGTCAGAAGCTGTGTCTTTTATGGACACAAGTCCTCCTCAGAATTGTGTATCTCTTGTCTCTAAAAGAACAAGTGAGCCAGTCGCCTGCTGTGTAATTTACTCAGTAAATTCTGTGTGCATCGCACTGGATGAGACGTGTGAGGGACATAAGACAGTGCCCCAAAAGGAGCTAAAAAAAACACTTGGGAGACAGGAGCCATAATTAACTCACTTATTTCTCAAGGATCTTTTTTGTTTTATTTTCTATAATTTTTTTTCCTTCCTTCCATGTAATTTCCATGATGACTCAACTAATATAAACTTGTGGAAGTCATAAGAAAAAAATAATAACTTTCCAGTTTTGTGGAATGTTCATTATCAACATCAGTTTTTAATTGTGTTTACATGGGTATAAAAATCCCCTTCCTTTCCATACCATTCAAATGACCACAATGAGGTTTCACCCGTGAAGGGGCTATTGCTATTTTTCAGTAGCAGTTGAATTTTGAAGAAATTTCCTGGTGTAGGTATGTATGCAAATTGGAATGTTGTCTCAGGTTCCAAACTCAATTTCCAAAATCCAAGCCATTCTTTATTTGGGGAAAAAAAAAAAATTCAGAATTACATAGGAAATAACTTTTTGAAAAAATAATTTCTTAAGTTTTAAATTTAAAAATGAATCTACTACTTCCGAGTGTATGTACTAAAATTGTAGGAAAAGAACTGCTTCTTTACAAGCAAACTGTGGAAGAGCTATGTAAAATGTCAAAGGGCATAAGAGCCCGTGCTTCTTCTGTCACCTTATACTCAGCACAAGTCAAGAGTCGATACAAGTTTAAAGAGAAAAATAAGTATCTTTCTTTCTAGGTTTTCACTTAGGTACATACTAACCACTGCAGGCATTCAAATCTGGTTTCAAAACAGGCAAAATATTTCAGTCAGCTATGAGTCTGCTGCTGATACTATAAGCAATAGGGGGAAATGATGTGGGGCTGTGGTAGTAGAATCTTGTATCTGTTTCTCAAAATTAAGAGTGAGAAGTTGAGGGGAAAGATACAGACGGAAAAATACAGACGGAAAAATACACAAATAAATACGGTATAAACACATGGAAATGTGTCTCTGTCAAATCTGAATCACTTTAACCATCAAGAAAATTCTCGTTAACCTAGTAAGTGTCTTTCCCTTATATGGTATATGAGCACCATTTCTTCTCAAATTCTTAAGAAGAGAAATGAGTTCATTACCAGAGGATTTCTTATTCATTGCTAATTATATGACAAACTTTTTTCATCAAAAGATATCTGACCCAACCTTCATTTTCAAAGCAGACAGCATCTATGTGGTCAAACATCCTTCAAGTTGGTCTTAAGGATGCTGGTTTTGGACTGATGACTATGGGGGGCAACAGGGATCCATTGGGCTCCTTCTGCTGTATAGCTGCATTGAAACGGCTTGGAAGCAAGTCTGATCAGCTGATCTGTAAATCCGTATTTATCTGTACATGTACGGGCTTTTTATTTCCACCAAGTAAGAGAGACAGTACCTCTTTAGTTAAGATCAAACTTCTTTTTAAAATACCTTCCAACTTATTTATTGGTTGTTACTCAATTGCATATATATATATACATATATGTATATATATATATATATATACATATATGTATATATATATATAAACTGTGCGTGAGTGTGTTAATTATCAGGCATATGCTTCTAACTTTTAGATAGGGGAGGAGCAAAATCTATGCCAGATACTGTGTATTCTATAATGGTGCTAATCTCAGAGCTAAATGAATTACTCCATTTAATTAAAAAAAAAAGAATTTTAAGTAATTATCTATGTGTCTGTGTTTCCCTTTTAAGTGTTGCACATTATGCTAACACGTTAGTATAAAAGCAGATGAAACAACCACATGTTCAAAAGTCTAGGGACAGTGCTATAATCCCTATTTAATTCAAAACCAACTAGAACTTTTCCATGTGAAATGGACCAAACTGGCATTATGTTATTTAAACAAAGAGTTTTAATGCAGTATGACATCCCACAGAGGAAAAGAATGTCTGTAGTGGGTGACTGTTCTCAAATATTTTACAGAATACCATGAAAGGTGACCAGACTGGTGACTTTTTTGAGTTTCCATGATTAGATTTGAGACTTGTCAATAGCAGATCATTTTTGTATTTAAATTTTTGTACTGATTTGAAAAAAAGACTTATTAAATATCTTTAAAAGTATGTTTCTCATCTTGTTCATATCACTGAGCGGACACTGAACCTCATACTTTTTTTATCCCCTGGTGTACTAAAGAGCTGCTGAAACAAAGACCAAAAACAATCACAGCTTAAACAGGACAGTTATTCCTCTTTGACATAATAGCTCCAAGCATCAGCAGTCCAGGGCTCACGTAGTAGTACCTTGCTGCTTTTCTGCCCCAAAGGTGTTGCCCTCATCCCCAAAGTCCAAGACAGCTAACCATCACAGCCACATTCCAGCCATTGGGAAGGTGAAAAAATCAGGAAGGGGAGGGCATGCTCCCTAATTAAAGAACCCAAGTCGGTAGCTGCTTAGTCCTCCCTCCCACATTCCACATTCTACTGCACTGAATTTAGTCACACTGCCCAAAGCCGCCAAGAAAGTGAGGGAATTTGAATAATTATTTAGGGTAACAACATGCCCAGCTGAAATTCAGGGACTCCCTTAACATGGAAGAAGGGAGAATAGATACTAGGGGATAATTAGCTGCTGCTAATTATCTGTAACACCCATCGTAAAAGAAGTCCCACAAACCTCTCTTCCTCCAGAAAAACCAATCTTCAAATATTCTATTCTATCCACAGTAGAGCCAACTATTCTGAGGGGAGAGATTGGTGAGCAGAGGCAGACCTGCTTCAAGAACCTAAGAGTCTTAAAACACATCACTGATAAGGAAAGAATTCTGCTGTGATGACTCATCAAGCTCAAGATGATTGTAACTATGTCTAGAATATTATAAAAGGATTATTCAAACCATTCCATAAGCAATTATCACGTCTGTGGCTGATTAACTCACTTGCTTAAACCATCAATGTGGAAGCTTAAGACCACAGCTTCCATTCCCATTTAGCCCAATTAGTTCTATTTCTTTCCACAGCTAAAGACTCTTTCATAACATGGATCAATCATCTTGTATGCGCGTAGTGTTGGTCACAAAAGTAAACAGAAGGATTGATACAGGAGACACAGGCAGGGAAGAATAAACAGTTGGAATACAGAGTGCTAGCCAAGCAGAGCAAACCCATCATCACAATGGCACTCAGGCATTTTTTATGTTAAAAGAAAATGCAAAGTAGTCCCTACTTTGCACTCGATACCACTAGGGAATGCGAAGGATACAAAAGCAACAGAAAACATGACCCTTCTCCTTAAAACAAACAAACAAAAAACCATCTTCTGTTTGGAGGAAATTCAGATTTTTGTTAAATAAATTAACTTCCAGGTGACTGTGAGGTGGTGTGGTGCTGATTGGATGCACTCTAGACTGCATGCAGGCTAAATTTTGAAAGTGAAAGACCATTTCATGCTGACATGTCTCCTCCATAATTCCTCCTCACCCCTCATAACACAGCTCAAGCATCACTTCCTCTTCCCTCCTGCTCAGTGTTAGTCGCCTTCTCCCCTGTGACCATCCCGCCCTATACAGGCTTCTGTCCCTTCACTCCTCCTGCCTTGTAACTGACCTATTTCTGTTGCCCATATTTGACAGAGCATATGGTCCTTGAGAGCAGGCACCTTCTTTCATCATTCATCCATGCCCATACATAGTTCTCGTCCAGTACCAAGTGGGAAGGAAGAATGAAAAATGAATTTCTCAAGGCTGCTGTGTATGGGAGGCAGTGCTAAAGTTGATATGAGTTGCAACTGAACCCAGCTCTGGGATTCTAAGATTATACAGATTATATATTCCAAGTTATTTAGAAATTCAACTGGAATGAAACCTAGTAACAGACAGGCTTTTGGAGATGATTTTTGAAGAAATCATTTTTAATTTGATGGAATTTGAATAGCAAAGGAATCACAAGAGGAATAGGCTCTCCTCCTCTAATAGAGAGGAGGAAACTGTTTTTTTTTTTAATTTAAATTCAATTAGCCAACACATAGTACATCATCAGTTTCAGATGTAGAGAGGAAACTGGTATTTTGTGAGTGTGCATGTGTATGTGTGTGTGTATTTTCTGGGATAGGTGGGGGACAAGACCAGCTGGGATAATGGATATGGCCTGAGTAGATCAGAAAATCTATTCAAGGACTAGTAGAGGAAATCAAGTTAATAACCAAAGAAAGGTCAAATAATATAGGGCTTTACATATAGGGAAGAGGCATTTATATTTTACCTAATATGCCCGAAGAAGACATCCCTTAAATGGGAAAATGGTATGAAAGTAAGTATTTTAGAAAAGTTACTTTGATGATTCTATGAAGAGGGTGAATTACAAGTGGTAAAACCAATGAGGAGATCAGATCAGCTTCAATTCAGAAATGCGATAATGGGTTGACGGCAAAAAGTCCTAAATAAGTCTCATGAGTAAAGGTCACATATCAGGTCAGGTGTCAGGGTTTAAGGACTACAAAACAATGGAGCTATTTCAAGGGCAAGGAAATGGAATAAAGAAGAATGAAAAACTAAAGAGGCAGTTCAAAGACTGAGCTGACCTTGGGGTCAATCCCAGGATGGCCTTAGGAGGGAGAAGAAAGCTTGGCCCAAAAGGGGGTTTCTTCTGACTGATACACCTGGAAGACTAGGATGGTACCCTGGACAAAAATTGGTGATCCACCAGCACCACCTGCTCCAAGCAGGGAAATGAGAAGATGCTCAGCTTATTTATAGACTTAAAGGACTTCCCTGTTAGTGGGAGTAAGATGCCTGTGTTCCACAAGTGGATTTGGCAGGGAGATGAAAGGTGGATCCATGAGCTTGGGAAGAGACATGGTGGCCCACCACAGTAAGGGAGAAAAAGACCATCTTGAAATTAGTAGCAACATTAGCAGACAAAAATCATCAAATTGCTTTAAAATATCCTCCTTTTCTTACTGCGAGAATTTATTTAACAAATCCTTCATAATAGATAACAGCAAATATAGATATCATCCCAATCCATATGGAATTACAATGAATTCTAAGTATACAGGGCCAACAAAGAATCCAAATCAATCATGATT